TCCAACCACCCCAACAAGTTATCTTTAAGCCTGGTATAGTTCAGTGTCTTCGCACTACACATGCTGAACTAAAGGGGCAGCGCTGGAGCAGGACTGAATGGCTAGGAAGGAAAACTGCTTAACCTGGCTTTGGCACTGAGGCATGTTCATTGAAGCACAGCCTGACTGAAAACCCATTGGTAAAAACAGGAAATAGTCTAAGGCAAGAGTGTGCTCCCTAAGAAAGAAAGATGCAATTGCAACAGCCTGTTCAAGCAGAGAGCAAACAGATTTTGCAAACCTGAAGTACTCCGTTTGATACCTTCTCTTTCGCTATAATTGAGATTTTCTACCCATTTTGAAGAGGATAGCTCTGTAGAAAGAGGGCAAAATTACTTACCAAGAGAGCAAGGGGAGAGAAACTACCTTTGAAATCAAAATGAATAGAAAGCCAGGAAGTAAGGTTAGAACCAAGGTGTTCCAATTCCAGGTTTGCTACTATGTGGTATGTATCATTCTCAAGTTAATTAGCCACATGACTCACTGTAACAGATCTGTAAAATGATTCTAATACTTTCCTACCTGACAGAGTTTTAAAGAATTCATTATCTCCCATTATGTTTGAAATCTGTGGCTTAAGTAACTTGGCAGAAAGTTACACAGTTAATCAGAGAATACAGAAGCTGATTTCTGTTTTAGAAATAGGATTAAAAACCAAGAAGGGCTGTCTTGTGGTCTCCAAAACAAACCACCAAAGATCCTTGATGGAAACAATATAAGCCTTCATGTTCATGTTTACACTAGCAGTAGGCTACACTGGTTACTGCCCAGCTAAACAACAAATCACCTTTATTTTCTTCTACTACCTTGCACAATGAAACCCTTAAGAAGGGATATTCAAATCAATTCAAACAATCAAACCTCATAAACACAAAGCAAGGAGCTAGTCCAGTGAAATCTCAAGTGAAAACCTGCTTTAGAAATCTGAAAGCTCTAGATGTAATTCATAATCAAGTATGTGTGCACCCAGGATAGAAAATACACAGGCAAGCCCAACATGACCAGGGGTCTACCAAAGGCACCAGGGTGTCCAGACTGTACACTTGTGTCATCTGACAGGACTAAACAGCCAGGAAGTTGCTGACCAACCAATGTTTAGATATTGGTACAGGATCAGGCACTGGCAGCTGCCTCTAGTAAGGATCAAGTCTAAAGCAATAAGATTAAATACAGACCAGCTGACTGTGCAGTCCCATCCCCCAAAACAACTCCAATCTGTCACTGACGCCAGACAAAGACACCAGTGCTAATCATAAGGATTACTTAAATCTATATATAACTATATCCCTATATACACATACATTTATGGCACAGAGGAGACTGAAAAAGGAAATGTTCAAATTTAAAAGTGCTTCTTTAAAAGCAAACAAGCATGTCAAAGAAACATGAGTTTCACAATTTTTTACATGCGCCCTGAATAGATATTAAACACATGGACTTGGAATAAAGTGTTCCATAATGTAGAGAGCACTAGACAGTTTAAATAATAATGAAAGTTTGATGCTTTCAGGCAAAAAAAAAAAAAGGAAGTAGCTTGTGTCAGTCTTCTAAATCAAACTTGCACATTCAAACTTTACATTGAAATTTCTTTGACTCCAGCCACAAACTACACTGCTGAATTCAAGACTGGTTTATTGCATAATATGAGAAAGCAATTTGGTAATATATGCAGGGAAATCTGCTACTTTATAAAAAATATTTGAAAAACAGGTTTTTTTGAGAGCAACCTTTATCTATGTCACTGATTTTCTGAAAGGAAGCATACTCAGGCAATGTACTGACCTTTCAGTTAACCGGCAGGTCTGTAACTTAGTATTACTGCAAACATGCAGAATTAAATAACAATGTCTGATACAGATAAAATCTACTTCAGCAAGTAAATATGCATTTTTTCTATGCTGTTAGTAAATTGCAATCTGCTGCCTGACCAATCATTTTAAGAGAGATCCAGAAAGAGGGTCAAACTAAAGGAATCGGCAAAACATCACAACTTGGAAAAAAAAAAAAAGGCTGAAGGGTAGCTTTGGAAACTTATTTTACCTCTGACCTTCCAAGCTTCTCATTGCTCACTTCAGCATTCTAATAAATTAAATAAAATATACATAAATACATAAGGATAACTGCTATGCCCAATACTAAAGACACAACAAAAAACATTAGGAAAATATGCCAGAGAAAACCTGCAGATGTGCATCTGTCGTACCTTCTGCAAAAGGCAAAAGTTTGACACTATAACTAATCCCAGAATCGGTTGCTGAAGCATAAGCGTGACTATGGTCTCTCCTTTCAAAGAGGCAGCTGGAATCCTGCCCTTATGAAAGACAAGTTGTACTTCTTAGCAAGGGGGAGCTCCATGTCTCTCCTCTGTTACTTCAGTGGGGCAATTCACACACGAAGGAAGTGTTTAAGTGACTTGATGAAGACTTTACATGAGGAGAGCCATCAGAGTAAAAGCTCATCTAGCCTGACAGCCTGTTCATGACAGAGGTCAGTAACTAATGCCAGGGGAAGAATGCAAAAGCAGGGAATGCAAGAAACTACACATCACCAACTCTACCTACTCAGAAATGGAGAGATGGGAAAAAGGCAGATACTTCTTCCTGCACTCCTCCAAAGCCAGCCAGATGCTCTGCCATCTACCACCTCAACACCTCCTCCACCAACATGTGACACATGATGCCATCTCCATAGTGTGGACTCTTCTACAATTTATCAGCCTCCTTCCCACCATACCAGTGGCCAAAAATCCCAGAGCAATGATAACTCATGAATTTTAAAGTGTGTCTTCCAACTGTTCTGCTCAGCAACCACATCTGAAATTGCAGACCTCCTAGAAATGACGGTGCACTGCAAGGCTTGTGCAGAGTGAGAGAACAGCAGCATTGGCTTGTTAGCATTTGAACAACCATATTAAGATTGAGGCCTAGCATGCTCTTTGGAGACCCACATTCCTTTGCAGTTTCTCTAATTTCCATGAATACAGAGCTGTTAGAGCAACAACCACCACTTCATCAACTACAAATTAAATTAAACCCATGAGATTATTATCCAGCTAAATGTGAACAATAACAATCAAAAGTATGACACCCATGTTATTTATTTCAGTACAAACCTTATTTCCGTACAAATATCCATTTAAGATGTATTCTTCATTTTGTATTGCCTCCATGATTTCAGTGTTTTGCAGAGCAGTGTTATAACAACTTAGACATATGTCTTAAAAATATCAGGGGAAGCTCTGATATACAGATAAACAGGTTTGGGTACTTTGGAGGCCAATAACAATAGGAACAGCTGGATCAACCTGTACTGAGTACTTCATATGGCTGCAGCACAACTGTTTCTTGGTGAAGAACCTTCTCTATTTTCAATTTCTATTCAACCTTCTCTATTTTCCTGAGAGACTGGGAAGTGCTATCATCACTGTATTATAGGTCCAAATAAAAAGAAAATGGACAAAAATTCCTAGAGTACGTGGTGCTCTAGACTCCTTGGAATGGTCTTCACAGTAGGTCATATCACAAAATGGCACAGGTGCTCAACCCAGCCACTGAAAAAAAGAAGAGTGACAATGTTCTCTTGCACCTTGGAGCTTAAGATCCATCATCTTTTGGGTAAATGACTAGCTCCCTTCTTACTGGAAGGCACAGTTGGGAGGGAAAGATTATTATTTTGGATATCTGCTTCTAAATTCCACCTGTATTGAAAGGTTTTCTGGATGTAGTCTCAAATGGTATGTCCAAGGTCATGATGGAAGTGTGTAAAGGCCACCCAAGTCTGAGACGGGTAGTCTAACAGCCTCTGTCTGTCTCTATCACTTGATTTTACTAGGAAGCAAGTTTCAGAAAAACTCGGGCAGATGGAAGTCTCTGAACTCTCAGTTTGCGCCTCAAGAGCACCCACATTTTCCTAATGACAATGGATGTGAATTCCATCTGGATGCTTCTGATAAAACTGAGGCACAGTGAGAGATGTTGAAAAACAAATGGTGCCTCTGAAGTCTTGGCATTAACACTACCCCAGTAAAAATAGCAGGGGTAAATTACGTGTCTCCAAGCACATCCAGTTTGCTTTATAACAGAGACCTAAAATATGTAATGCTTGAGATATTCTTCTGTCATGCTGTGAGCAGTGATTCTGCCATGATTCTGAGCAGTTTTTGTAGATAAAGAGCATAGAAAACACACAGCATCATTACATCCATTTCCACCTGTCTTTGACATTTGCTTTTCACAATTACTCCAGTGCTGTACACCCTGAAACTAACATCCTTGCTATAGCAACTGTGCCCCAGGTAGATACAAAAAAGGTTGTGTTAGAAAACGCTTAATTCATAGCCCACACTGTCACTGTCCACTTACAAAGTTGAGAGTATCACATTAAAGGTAGATGAATTCAGATTTATCAGGACAGAACTGAGACAAGAGCTCTCTCCTAAGTAAAATAATTTAGAGATCCAGAAATGCTGCACCTAGATGGAACCAGTGATCGAGGAATTTTAGGGGAAATGGAAATGTGCATAAACTGTGAAGGCAGACTGCCCAAGTCGAGTAATTAGCACAGAGCAGCTTTTACGCTGCTTTTCGCTAGAGCTGTGTCTGTCAGCATGGCCTCACCTGCTCTTTTCCACAGCAGCTGCAGCTGCCTTCACAGGCTCCCCTGCAGGGACAAAGACTGAAGAGAAGACTAGAGGAGCCACTCAGAGCAGCTGCAGATGCTAATGGCATAAGTGAGCAGGCAGACCTGCCTTCAAAAATTATCAACACCAGTTCTGAGTGTAAGTAGTGTCTGCGTCTTCCCACACCAAACTGTTTCCATATGAAGGAATCTTCCATAACAGCATTCGGAAAGCTATTTTTGCTCTTACAAGACCAGGGAAGGACTCCTTGTTTCCCATGCAGCATCTCAGCCCTGGGGTCTATCCGCCTGGTGGTTCTTTACCAAAACTTTGCAGAGCCCAGGTATGTCACAGCAACACCCTCAAGCCTTGGAAACCACACGGACACAAAACAGACACTGATACTCTGCTTGTCTGACCTAAAACTGAGTTACTGCATTTATTTTCTTTGTAAAGTGAAAGTCCCAACAGCTAATCCATCAGAGCAAGCTACTGACCTATTTCCACAGGATCCTTCTGAGACCAGAAATTATCAAGAAACAGCTATCAAAAGCAGATCTAGCACATGGATGGTGAGAGACAGGGCAGCTGAGAGGAGCAATGATCTTTCTCTGTCCTGCACACCTTATTCTCATATCCTCAAGACAAGTCCAGGCAGAAGGAATTTTACCACAGCACTGATTTACTAAGAGCAGCAACAATACACGACTACCAGACTTCTCTTACTGACTCACAAATAACTTAGGGATAATAGCTCTCTGGGAGAAAGTGTATCTCAAATCCTATATTTGTTCAAAGATGATGTCAACAGGATGTGCTTCAGTCACAGGGATGACATTAACTTAACTGTTAAGCAAAAGGCCTGGAATGAATAATTCTTCTCAGATCATATTATTCATTCTTCTATCACTTGAGGTTTTTGCTTACTTCCTGCTGAGGTACTCAAAATCTCTTATAAATATGAATAAGTTAAACCTCTCAACAAGCCACCTGAAGTATATAGTATCTCCACTGTAATAAGAGGAACACATTAGACAGACAAATAAAGGGTGACAATTTCAAACACAGGTTTTCAAGTTTACTACATATTTTCATATTAAGACACCACTCTTCGTTTCCATCAAATGCAAGAGGAAATAAGAGGTGTTTGACATCTTGGCATCCCTCTTAAAGCAATGTCTATACTACAGTTAACACTGAATCACATGAGCTTCTTTTTTCCCTTGCTCCTAGCTGTAAACTGGATGTGACTCAGCTACCAGTACTGCACAACATGCTCAGGAAGAACTAAGCCCAGTACAGCCCCTAGCAGGCAGGGCAGCAGCATTCCAGGCCCCAGGTCCACCCAACCGTCCAGGCTGCACACATGGGAGTGTGGTCCACAGCATCCTCACAGGCCACATAGGAGCTGAAACCTGAGGCATCCCTTAGCAGCAAAACAAGAAGCCTCGCCTTGCTCTTGTGTATTTTCAGGGGTTGCCAACACTGTCCAAAAGTCTAAGACTGAGGCACATAACAAATAAGAAAGACTAATAGAAATAATAATAATAAGAAAGACTAATAAGACAGACATAAAATTTCAGTTGTGTTCTCACACAACTCTCCTGAGCATGCAGCAGAGGATATCCATTTTTGACTGTATCTGGTCCAGTGATACAGAAAGCACAATGTTTCCTTAGCAGCACCTCAAGCTTTCCAGTTTCTCTCTTCCATTAATTCCTGTAATGTCCATTCGTTGCAAAACATGTTGGATTCACAGGAAAGACATAGGTCCACATAGCAAAGCTATACAGTCTAAGCTCAAATTCTGTCTCTAGTATGAGATCTAAGGACATTTTCTTGACTATCACATATTCCAGGGATGGCTGTGTTTCCAAGCTGATACTCTTTGTATGAAAATGATCTTATCTCTTATAAAACGGATATAAAACTGTGTCCAACTGTTGTTCTCCAAATGCAATTTAGACCCTCTATTTTTGCAAGTACAGATTAGTTTTCAATATTAAAGAACTGAAAATTGTGGCACTTTTCCTTGTTTCTCTAGCAAGGAGACATTTTTCTCAGCTGTTGGCTTCCAGTACCAAATAATGCAACCTCTATGTTGGACACAGTGTGCACACTTGAGAGGATTCTGCTGCTACACAATAAAAGGTTCAATCATCAAAACCAGAGATGTGGTACAAAGGAGAGCCTTTCACATTTCTCCTTCAGTTCACAAAAGAACACGCTTCAAAAGCATCTCACAAGCACCCACACATATTGCAGAGAGCACTCTTATTTCACAGGCATTTCTTAGAAGCTTCAGCAATTCATCTTCCAAAGACAGTGGTAAAAGTTCATGTGACAACAATGCTGACAAAGCCAAGAAAGCTGAACAGATATAAGTCCACTATGCACACTGTTTAGGGTTGGGAGGAAGAAATGAAAAAGATGCTGGTGACCAAGAGTAAGAATTTGAACTACAGTCTGATGGAGAAAAAGACAGATGAAGAACAGGGAGAAGCATTTACCAAAAGTGAAGGAAAGAAGGAAAACATGGTGACAAAAAACCTGCATCACAGTGTTTTCCAAAGAAGCGCATATGCTTTAAACAAAACCAAAAGCTTCATGGATCTGGTATGATTCAAACATGTTTCAAAACTTTGAAAATCCCATTACTCCTTCTTCACAGAAGAGGCGGTGGCAACTGTCATCTTTCAGAGAAAAAGAAACCCAAGGGAAAAAACCTACAATTGCAGATTTGAAACAAAGATCTTCATTCACCATTTCTTTTCCATTTTTTTTGTAAAGGTTTTCCATCTGCAATGAAAATTTTGAGACAACATTATTTTGGGAAAAGCTGGAGGGTATGTGTGGGCAATACAGACGGAGGCTTTAATGGAAAAAAATAGTCTGAGCATTAACAACTGACAGACTATTATTCTTCAGTAATGAACTGACATGATGGTACTTTTTTTTAAATAAAGGATACTGTCTCATTGCCTATTGACTACCACAGAATGGTTCTCAACGTACTTGCAATGCTGTATTCACTCAATTAGTCATTTTATCTTATATGTAAGAAGAGAACAAAGAATAACAGCATAAACTACACATTTCAAAGGCTAAATTTAAAAGTTTAATAAATATGTGCCATTAGAGAATTTACAGAATTGTTAGGCCTGTGAATCTTCCTTTCTCGTTTTTTTGTCCTTTTAATTCTTGCAAAAATAAAAAGTTAACTTACTGTATTCTGTCTTTTACATCTAGGATGCCTGAAGAATTCAGTATACTACCTAGGTCTGACAGGTACGGTAACCCAGAAAAATAACAACATGTTTTTCAACAGACCGAAGAAAGACTTTTAAATACAACTAAAAACATCCCCAAGCAGCACAGTATATTAGCATCACCAGTTACATGAAGAACCAGAACAGACTAGCCCGACAAGAAAACCCCCTTAAAAATAGAATGTCTAGATAATTATGATTGCATATGGAGAAACAATTGAAGAGGAAAGAAATTAAAACTCTCTTTAAGGGATTTTAACCAAATGCACTGTATATCTAGAATACAAGATAAGTTTGTAGTGCATTAATATGTCTGAGTTGATACAGCCTGAGCAAAACTCTGCTCACAATTACTTCAGGGCATTCCAGGAACACGGAACTTGACTGCAACCCATGACATGAATATAAAAACTAGTAAGAATTTGACATGAATTCAAAGATAAAAAAAATAGATCTGGTGAACAACTGTATCACTGCTGAAGTGTTAAATCATGCAGCAAGGCTCAGAGTTTGCCAGTTTCAAAGGCTTTACTGTGCAAGTCATCCAATCCCTGCAAATGCCCACTGTGAAAACAAACAAAAAAATAAGTCACTACAGAAGTGAAGAATCTGCTTGTTCTTCAAGTTTGTGGCAGTTATCGAAAAATTAAGTAAACCTGAAGTTTTCTTCTTTGGCTAGTCTGACGTAATGCCTGTTTCACCTTTGAAAATCTTCTCTTTGCAATTAACATTAATGCTTGTACATCACCATCCAGATACAAATACCTTTCCCACCTACACCTCAGGTCTACAGAAGCCTTCCACAGTTAAAGTTTGCAAGATCTTACCCTCTGATGTCTGCAATCACGTTTACCTCCAGCAGACTCTAGATCAGGCATTAGAAGTGAAGAGTCTGATATCAGCTAGGATTCATTTTCATCCATTTGATTATCCTTCTACATGTTGATGAGACATGGATCATGTGTGGAAACCAGCTATATCTTACTTGGTAAACCAAGACTCTCATTATGCATGTTCAAAATAGCAGTATTAATGCTGTGTAGTATTTCCTAATTTAGCAGGGCTTGAAAACACCTGACTAATGGAAGTCATCCTTCACAAAGATAAATCAGACCTCCACCCTCTGTACCCCTTCCTTAAGTGCCCTTTCTGTTTGTCCTATTGCTCTTCTTTTCCCATGTGTCTCACATATCAATAAGTTGCCAATAGACATATATCAAACTCTTGCATAGCACTCATTTTAAAACAAGAGCAAGCCAGGTGTCTTCTCCCAAGTGCCTATCAAGGTGCAGTGGTCAAAGGCTGTGAACTCTGCCTGGATCCCCTTATTTATGCAGAGAAAGAAAACATGAGAGGCAGCCTTCCCCTTAACATTCCCTAACAGCTAGCTTATACCTCAACTGATCATCAAGGTCACTATTGGTACTCTGCTTTGACATATGCGAACATTCAGTTTATAGAAAATTTAAAACTCTTACCTAAGAGCATTAGATGTCTCTTCCAGACACGGATGCCAATATTTCAGGCATTACTGAGCTTTATAGTGCTCAAATTTCTCTACAAATCTACTCCTAAATTGGGGGACAGGCAGCCCAGGATGTAGTCTGGGATTAAAAGGAAAAGGTATCAGAGAGGAAATACTTAGGTAACTGTGGGCTTCTTTTGTGGATGAATTATCTCCATCTTCTTGAGCATTGATATGGAATGGCAATCATTCTTCAGCACAGTATTAAAGATGTAACATGGCAGTGTCATTATGGATTGCAGCTTAATAAACCCCTAAATTTCACTTTGTTCGGAAAGAATCCAGGAAAATTACTAACACTACCTCCTAAAGTAGAGTGGTACTGCCTCCAACACAGTCTCCATACCAGATCATTTCTACACCATCAGGGAAACAATGATTTTTCCCCTTTTCCTGCTGCTTATGTTTCTTCTTTTGATAAAATTCAACAGATTTAAAAATGGGTACTATTTTCCTTTTGCACCACCACACAAGAAAAAATTATTTCTGAACAAGATCATACTGTATTTTTAATTACTCACAAAATTAGCATTTAGATAGCACCATTCACCCAAGAGTTCTGTGGCACTTAAATTTCAATTAAATCAAGTACTTGTTTACTTTTTCATGCTTTGAGGAATTGCAGAAGATTATTATTACTACCCTCACTTTATCAGGGAAACTACTATAGAAATTGAAGCATGCATTAGCTAAAGACCAGATTCTGCTTAAATTTGCATGAAGATGCAAAATAGTGTCACTAAAGTGAACAGAGTTACACTTACCCAGAACTAGGCACACAGCAGAGACCTAATTATTCCAGAAGGCTCCTAGTACCACTGTGGTAGAAGGAACAAAAGTAAAATCTGTATTTGGAGTCACAAACCTCTTCCCAATTCACCTGCTCATCATAAAGAATCAAATCCTATTTTTAGCAACAACAGCCAGTGAGGGGTCAAGAAGAGATTATATAGATATGCCAAGGTCATATAGGATATTTGCAACAGAGAACATATCTGAGCCCAGATTTCCTAATTTCCAGGTTACCACTTTAATCACTCGCGTATCTTTAAACCCCACTAACCATAGACACAAAATAAATCCAAAGAAAATGTCCTGCATTTCCAGAAGTAGCTGAGTATCTTAAAGAATCCTGTACCTTATCAAAGGAACATTTCAATAGAGAACACCAAGCCAATCCTGCAAAAGCATGATGAGAAAAGGATGCATGTTAGGGACTATTGCTGAGCTCCTCAACTCACTTTCCTCTGCTAACTACATGACTTGTGCATCATACTGATGGGAAGTGTGAAGTTAGGGAGAAGTGTTTCAGCTCACTGGATACCTTCTGATCAAAGAACTTAACACAATATTTCTCTCTCCCAATCACTGCCTTTATTATGCATTTTTAAAACATGTCCCTTAAACATTCATTCTGGGCATTTCCTATTGGAGTCATGTGGGAAGAATTTTCATCATCATTTGTAAAACAGATAATAAATTTGCCTGCAACTTTTGTATATGCAGCAAAGTGTCAATAAAGTAGTACAGCATAACTTTCTATTTCTTTTAAGGATTTCACAAAACCAAAAATGACCAATACCTCTGAGGATCAAGACCAGAGAAAAAAACTTAAGTCTTTGGCTTCTATTCCCTGCGTAAAGACTTACTTAGGTCCATATCAAGCTGTAAACCAAAGAGAAAACTTGTGGTATAGTACAGAATGAAGAGTACTTTAGGAATGCAGGGGGAAAAGAAAAATGTCATTAAGTTTCATCACTGGGTTAGCCAAAGAATAACAAAACAAAATGGGTGCTCCACGTTATAAAATACATCGAGGCTTATGCTAAGGTTCAGCGATGTAGTAAAGCACTTCCTCTGGGTTTCCCTCTCAAACATATAGCATGTTAATTAAATTTAACCATAAAAATTTCAGAGTTTTTGCCTTCAGCACTGAAGATGAGTATTATTTTCTGGACAAATGTGTTTTTCTCCTCTTTGCAGTCATAATTTTCTCTCTCTCCTACCAAAAAACCCTGCAAACATTTTCTGAGACATTTCTAATGAATGGTACTTAAGCATGCCAACCAGCTTTCCCTACTTCATTCCATTTGACTTGCTCATTTGCAGTGTCTATTGCTGTGGATTCTTACAAAACCTGTAAATGTTGAAGGCATTCATCACTCATTATGGCCACCAAGTACCAGAAAATATAGAACAAGCATGGACTTACGCAGTTCTTCCCGGTGCCTCTCTGTCTGTGCAAAAAACTGGCGAAGCTCCTCTGTGATCTCCATGTTACTCAAGTCATATTCTATCTCCCCTTCAGACTCGGAGTCCTCCTCCATTTCACAATCCCTATCAGCATCCTCCCTGCCTTGGTGAGCATCTGCGTACTGCTGAGCTCCTCCACGGTACAGAGCTCTGCCATATGGGCTATAGCTGGAAGAATATTTTTGGGTATGTCTGAGATCATTCCCATCCCAATCTGAGTGGCGGCTACTTGGAGAGGCTGCAGAAGGATGGCATGGCAGGTGATAAAAGGACTCCACGGCTTTCCTGTAGGCTCTCTGGTGTCTACGCATCCAGCGCATGGCTAAGTCATAGTGCTTCCAGTATCTTGCATACACTTGCTGAGAATACCATGGCTCAGTGTCTTCCTGCAGCCAAAACACAGGGGAAGAGGGAAAGAACACCAAAAAAACAGGCCTTGGAAGAAAGATAAGCAACTGTTGAGTTGTGCTAAGGTGGCAGGGAAAAACAACAGACAGCTCCAACACTGAACTGGGAAAAGTTACTGCTGTGTGAACAAGAAGTTGATTGGTCTGCACAGCGCGTGTTAGAGTGGTCTTATGCTGATAGGAGCAAAGGTAGATAGCTGTCTGACTGCTGATTTGCTAATTATGAAGTAAGAGCTTTAACGAGAGCGTAAGTATGTACTGTTGGAAAAATAAATGGCCCCTGCTCTGCAGAAAGAAAGAAGAACACTCTGATTCGTTATTTTGGCCGCTACACTCAAATGCTGCTGATGAAAAAATGTACATCTCAATGTGACGACTAGCAACTGCACTGCCATGCAGCTTGGTGGGAAGGTGATCAAATTCAGTACCTACACACAAATTGGTTTAGATC